TCCTATTCTGTGATGAATACTATCCTGTTATCCTGCCAGACTGCATTGCTGTATATATCCTGTAAATACACATTTGGTGTTGGGAGGAGCTGCCTGTGTGTGTTATTTATTTGGACCACCTGGACTGGACACTGCTGATTCTACTGGATTTCTGCGATTTTGCACTAACAAGGGTTTATGGGCCCAGCGATGCACCCTGCTATGCCTACCTTGTGCCAAAAAAGCTGGTGAGTACCAGAGGGTGTTTCAGAGGCATATGGAAGAAGTCCAGGGAAGTGAGAGTTCTGCCATTGAGAGCCCACGAGGGGAAACAAAATGAAGGACTGAGGGAAAAGGCAGCAGCATGCAGTTGTTCGGGGCAGCAGGTATTGGAGGCTTTCCCTTAAAAAGGCTGAATGAAAAGAATTATCAGACATGGGCGGTTAAAGCAGAAATGCTATTAAGAAGGGAGGACTTATGGCAAATTATTTCCAATCCCCCCTGCTGTGTTAGATGAGGAGGAAGAAAAACAGAATGAGAGGGCTTTAACCATGATAATTCTATGCCTGGAGGACAGCCAGTTAATCCATGTGCATGGACTGACCTTGGCTAGTGAATGCTGGCAGGCTCTGAGATGAATTTATGTCAGAAATACAGCAAGAACAAAGGTGTCTTTGACCAGAAAGCTGTACAGAGCCAGACTTGAACAAGACGGGAGCATGTCTGAGCAGCTGCAGAAAATGAAAAATCTGTTTATAGAGCTTCAGCAAAGAGGCATGGAGTTTATGGAAAGCCACCAAGCGTATGTAATCTTGAGCAGTCTCCCGGAGGACTTTGACGTGTTGGTGACTAGTCTGGAGTCCATGCCAGAAGATGATTTAACCCTTGAGTACCTGACAGGCAGACTGCTAGAGGAGGAGCAAAAAATGAAAGATCCAAAGACAGAATGAGAGATGACAGCCTACATCAGAGGAGAGCTGCTTCCAGAAAAGACGGAGAGCAAGACTTTGATTGTGAGGTGCTGTTTTAAGTGTGGTTCTGAAAAGCATTTACAGAGAGACTGCAGAGAAGCTGGCTGTGGAAGCGAAAGAAACAATGGAGGATTTCTCTTGTACAGGCTGCTGATAAAGCCAAGGTCACCAGCTGGATAGTGGACAGTGAGCTATGTCCCATCTGACTAACAAAAAAGATTTGTTTTCTTTTCTAGGAGCCTCGGAGCACAGCTTCCTGAGCCTAGCAAATGGAGAGAAGTTTGCCATCACTGGAGAAGGGACTGTGTTTGTACCAGGTTTGAAAAGGGAACTTAAAGGTGGTTTACTATTTCCAAAACTGGATTGTAATATCCTAACTGTGTCTAGCCTTGATAAAGAAGGTTATTCAGTGTCATTTGCTAATAGCACTTGTACAATTAAGAAAGGAAACAAAATATGTGCCTCAGCAAAGTTAGAAAATAATTTATAATATGTGTTTATTATATGTGTTAAAAGGTAAAACACAAAACATTGTGGGACACACCATGATTAGGAACACACCTCAATATGATCATTGTGCCCACTTGTTGCATAGAAGGCTTAGTCATGCAAATTTTAGAGTGATTCAGAAATGCAAAGCTTGGCTAAAGGCGTGAAAATGAAGCCTTGTAAAAATTATTTAGACTGCTATGTGTGTAAGCTTGCAAAATCAAAAGAATATCCAAAAGCCAAAGAACGTACTAGTCAGACACAGAGACCATTTCATTTCGTTCATGTTGACATAACTGGGGCCTTTTGCCCCATCTATGGGAGGAGCGAAGTATGTTCTAGTCATCGTAGACGACCATGGATGCTATTCTTTCTGTTATTTGATGAAAAGCTAAGCAGATGTGTTAAACCATTTCAGAAATTGGGTGAAATTTGTGGAAAAACGTTATGACCGGAAAGTGGCTCAAATTCAGACAGATAGAGGTCCTGAATTCATGTCAGGAAAATTCCAGACATGGTTAAATAACACTGTAATATTTCACAGGAAGACCAGCCCATATTCTCCTTTCAAAAATGGGGTTGCAGAGTGTAGGAATGGAGTTCTGCAAACAATGAAGGATGCTCTATTAGCAGACACTAATATGAGTATTGGGATAAAGCTCTTTTGACCTCAAATTACATTCTTAACAGGCTGTGGTCATCAGCTATAGAGCAAACCCCATATTATATGTTGTATGGGAGAGAGCCTTCTTTACAACATTTGAAAGTGTTTGGGTGTAGTGCCTGGGTGCACGTACCAAAAGAAACCAGAAGAAAAGGGAGACCAAAAGCTAAGAAAATGAGTTTCTTGAGCTATGAAATAGGGTCAACAGCATATCGTTTCCTGGATGGAAACAAAAATGTAGTAATCTCCAGGTCAGCAAATTTTTGTGAGCATGAGGACTGGGACAAGGTACACGCAAATTTCCAAGTATACATTCCCATTAAAAAGGGAGAAAAGTCAAGGAAATGAGATAGAGCCAAAGGAAGAAGCTGAAGAAAATACAAGCTAAAGCACCTCAGAAGAAGAGGATGATGGAAATTGTAGTCAGGTAGTGAGTCAGCCTGCATTTAAAGAGGAGTCACAATCCCCAGAAGGTCTGAAAGGGCTGATAAAGGAATCCCTCCAACAAGGTTTGGTGTAGGGGAAATAAAAGTATATCATGTATACCAAGAGCCCAAGAATTTTGAGGAAGTGATGCTTCTTCCAGAAACAGAGAAAAAGAAATGGCAACAGGCCATGCAAGAGGAATTAAAGTCCATGGATGAGCATGGAGTGTTCACAGAGACAAAGTTGCCACCAGAACATAAGGTAATTGGTAGTAAATGGGTCTATAAAAGAAAATTGCAAAACAATGGGGATTACAGGTACAAAGCAAGGTTAGTGGCTCAAGGGTACGCACAAAAGAAAAGTGTGCATTATGACAAAGTGTTTTCACCAATGGTAAAAGGCTTTAAATTTGGCTGCTTCCAGAAACTACATAGTAAACCGCTTTGACATTACAACTGCTTATTTAAATGCAGAATTCAGGAAGAGTTATACATGGTGCAGGCACCTGGTTTTGAAAGCTCTGAACCAGGGGTGGTATACAGATTAAACAAAGCTATTTATGGATTGATACAATTGGCGAGATACTGAAATCAGTATTTACATTCAGCATTGGAAAAGTTAAAATATAGAAACAGTTTGGCAGATCCATGTTTATATGTAAAAGAATACAGAAAGGAGCTAAACATTTTGATAGCCTATGTAGACGACATATGATTTATGTCCAAACATCAAAGCCAAATAGATTTAGAGTGGTGACGACAATAATCGCTTGACGACGATAATCCGCTCCATGAAAATTGCTGTTAAGCAAAATTGTCGTCAAGCGGGGAAAAACCCATTGGAATGCATTGAAAACCGGTTAATGCTTTCCAATGGGGAAATACTTCATCATCCAGTGAAGATCGCCTATAGAGAACCACCAATCAACTGTTTAAAATCACTGTCTTCTGAAGCTTCTGTCCGGAAAACAGCTATTTTGTGAACGGAGGGAAGACATTTTGAGAAAGGAAGCCATTTTGCAGAGCCGGAAAAAACATAGTTTTGCAAACAAACAGTTCGCGAAGCAGGCACCTAATCGACGTAAAGCAAAAAAACCCATAGGAACCATTTTGCGATCGCTATAGCAAGTGTAAAAATTGGTCTGAAGCTCAACATAAAAAAAAATTAAGATCATGGCCACTGATCCCATCACCTCCTGGGAAATAGAAGGGGAAGTTATGTAGGTAGTGACAAATTTTACTTTCTTGGGCTCCATGATCACTGCAGATGGCGACAGCAGCCATGAAATTAAAAGACCACTGCTTCTTGGGAGGGAAGCAATAACAAACCTAGACAGCATCTAAAAAAGCAGAGACATCACCTTGCCATCAACGCTCTGCATAGTCAAAGCTATGGTTTTTCCAGTAGCGATGTATAGAAGTGAGAGCTGGACCATAAAGAAGGCTGACCACCAAAGAATTGATGCTTTTTAATTGTGGTGCTGGAGGAGACTTTTGAGGGTTCCCTGGACTGCAAGGAGAACAAACCTATCAATTCTGAAGGTAATCAACCATGAGTGCTCACTGGAAGGACAGATCCTGAAGCTGAGGCTTCAATACTTTGGCCTCATCTCATGAGAAGAGAAGACTCCCTGGAAAAGTCCCTGATGTTGGGAAAGTGTGAAGGCAAGAGGAGAAGGGGACAACAGAGGACGAGATGGTTTGGGCAGTGTCACCGAAGCTACCAACACAAATTTGACGAAGGTCCAGGAGGCAGTGGAAGACAGGAGGGCCTGGCATGCTCTGATCCATGGGGTCACGAAGGGTCAGACATGACTTAATGACTAAACAGCAACAAATCATACACAGCAATCCTATGGATGTTTACAGTGAAGAAAATTCCTCTGTATTAAATGGGGCTTATTCCACAATAAAGTCTTTAAAACTGCAACTTGTTTTCAAAGTTGTATTCTCACTCTGAATTTTTGAACTCACTGCATCACTGATCAGGGTTGCAGCACCTCAAGTACAAGGCAGGCAAAAGAGAGGATTATGTTGCCGTTCTAACCCAATGATTAGCCCCAATTAGAGTAGACTCACTTAATGAATGAGATCTGCTAAGTAAACATATAGGTTTCCTTGTTTCAATGGATTGCTATAGCTGGGACTAACACATGGATTTATTTCACACATTTGTGTGTGAAAGCAGTTCATATTTAATTTCTAAATTGTTCTCTCATTGCTGTGAATTCACTCTAAGTTTCAGTAAATGTATCTTCTGTTATAGGACGTTCATGAAAGTAGAGCAAATACTTGTTATTAAAAGAAATTAATAGCATGGCTCACATATTCCACTTTGATGTTATTTCTGATTGGGTAAATTATATAACTTGACTGGTAAGAAAATGTAGAAAAGCCTTCTTTTAACACAATTTATTGGCACACATATTGGCAAAGCATACATAAAATACAGTTTTATGTATAAGACACGAATTCACTTTTTTATATGATATCCTGATATATGTAAATGAAAAAAGCTTATTTTATAAAGTTTCACATAAATATACTGGAATAAAAAATTGATTAGTTTGGAGGGCTTTACAAAAGTATTGTTCAAGTATGTGGAAAACAGCAGAAGACAATAAAAACACAACAAAATAGTTTTTGTTTAAACTGCTTGAAGAATTAATGAATTGCATGGCTTTCAGAATGGAGATCAACAGCAATTTTACAAAGCATAAACTCTCCTAGGGACTGGGTGATTTTCTCCACATAAAATTATTTGTTACATCTTTCACGGAATAATAAAAGTTGTCTCAGTGCTTTTAATAAAAGAAAAAGAAAAACTATTAATTAGTTAAAATGGCCACAATAGAATCAAGGGTACTATGGTAATGACACAACTGGTTTCACCTGGAAATTCAGCACATGATGGACTTTGGAACTAGTCATATAATGGATCCCCTGAGAAAGGAGGGGACCACTTGCACAATTGTTGGCGCACATGTTTTTTTTCAAGCAGGATACTGTCAGATTTAAAGTGGTGAATCCTTAAAATGGCTAGAACAAAAAAAAAGAAGGGTAGTTCCAACAAGAGAGAACATCAACTTATGCTATGCAACAGTTAATGAAGAAGTAATGTTGTAACCCAACATATTTAGGTGGAAGCTTCCCAAAACAGAAATCCTGGTTCACCAAGGAGCTAAGTATATGCACTGATTTTCAAACTTGGTCCTCTTCCGAATCTAACAACCAAAGCTTTAAGGAAACCTGAAATGTCATCAATAATATTTTTGGAAGAAATCATTGAGGAGCTGGACTTACTTCTCTCCTTCTCCTTTTATATATCTGAGCTTTGTTCAATCATTTGTTCAATCATTATTTAAGCTTGTGGTGATCACATAGATTGAGGTGAATATTCTGCCCCTCCTTCTTTTTTGCTTTCAATATGTTAAAACAACATCTGAAAAGGCAGAGGCTGTTCCATCCTTGTAGTATTGCTAGAAGAACCAGAACATGGATAGGCTACAGGAATAAGACAGCTCTCTCACATTAGACTCTCATTCTCATGAGTTGAAAGTAGATATGGGGATGACTCATTCCACCTCCCCCACCTAGAGGCTAGCCGAGTGGGAAGAGAGTGGTGCTCCACGAGTGATTGGAAGGATGAGCAAGGCCACTGCTACCGCTGGACGTGTGAGTCCATCTGCATGGGGATATTTGTATTAATATACAAATACCCCCCATCTCTAGTTGAAAGTGATGGTTGAGGGGTGATGCCAGCATGCATTGTGACATCCTTAGATAATGACTAAGTAGGGTTCTAGGTAAATTGGGACTTTAGTTTTAAAAGTAGCTACAGGAGATGCCTTTATTGCACTGTGTTCACTCCACTGGATCAGAACCATACGAAATATTGTATTTTTATATGATTTTAATATAAATGTGATTTTAAATGGTTGTGATTAAGAATTACACCTACTAATATGCACTTAACTGAACTTGTAATAGCTGGTTGTTCATGAAGCACACATGTGTACATTTGATAAATATATTTCATTAGTTCCTGCTATCCAGGAACTAATGATATCTTCATATCACTTTCCTCAGTGAGAGGGCTTTGCAACTTTGCATGAGGAAAGTTTCAACTCCAAAGTTGGTAGGCTACAGTCTTTCTTCATAATAATTTTTTCCTGGAAGCTATCGAAATTCTCCCTTCTTTTGCTCCCATTTCAGATTCAGTTGGAAAAAAAAAACACACAGGGAAAGAAAATGTAAAACTTTTAAAATCATCTCTCAGAGAAAAAAATCTCAACAACAATTTGGAAAGTATGTCATTCACCCCACTGAAAAAATCTTAGTCATGATCTAGGTTATTGAAGCTAAAATGTAATTTCTAAATGGGATTTGTAGTCATGGAATAATGTAGAAGGGAAATCATCTCAGTCTGTGTCATTTTACTAGAAGCTTGTAGAAGTTGTTTTCTTTACAGCAAGTTAGGAATGTTATCAGGAAGATAGCGTTGCCAAGGCTATGCTTGGTGAAGGCAAAGCCAAGAAGTCATAACATTGAGAAAGAATGTCAACAACACCTGCAGTTCTCATGAGAAAAGGAGGTGGAGAAAGAAAAGGCGGTGGAGAGAGATAAGCTGTTCTTCGTCCTGATTGGCTTACGCCAGTGGAGAGTGAAGGAGGGGATGTTTTTCAGCGTGTGAAGAAAAACGACAGGATGTTACAGAAGGAGAGAGACTCTTTTTTATTCTTTTCTAACTCACTATGGATTAATGGATATTTGATTTTTGAATGGACTTTGGACTTACAAAAATGCTAAGATGTAGTTTTTAGGAGAAGAACAGAAGGGAGGCCTAGCCTTACCTATTTTCTAGTTAGTAGAAGTTTCTTATTTTATTTTTGTGGCTGGGATTTGCTAAGATTCTAACTATTGGTAGTTGTGGAAATGTTTTTGATTGCTATGCTTTGCAAGAAATTGGATTTATCTAAATCTTTATTTTTCTAATAAAATAATAATACTGAAGGTCTTATGCTTGGTCTCTTGAACAGGTAACCTGCTACCATGCTTAATTGGATTTCTTACAGGCCACAAAACTATGCTACTTTGAGTCCAGTATTTTCCTGAGTTCTAAGAGGACTAAATGTCTCTAAGACTCATGGTTGTATTTTGGTTTCTCAGAGGTTTTTAATTGGGAATAGACTTGGGAAAAGGTGCTGGTGGGACAGCCTGGTTGAGACTTGGACTCATCTCAACTTAAATAGGGGTCAACCAGACCTGGAACCTCTCTATTCCAGTCATCTCTTAGGAGAGCTGATAGGTTTACAAGTAGATCCTCAGCACTGATGATCTGGTGTGGCCTTTAACAAGATAAGGGAGAGTATAGGAGAAACAATTATCCACTGAAATGGTAGTAGTAAGAAATTGTCATAGACTGATACTTACCCATCCAGTTATTTCACAAAAGTTAGTATCCATATCATGCCATGTGCAAGGGCTTCCAAGATAATTAAATATTTAAAATTATATACATTATTTTTCCAACTTAAAAAAAGATAGCTGTACATCTGGAAATAGGCTGAGTATCTGTGGAAAACTAGGAGGTTTTTGTGTGTGTAAAGAATGCTGGGAGATAGTTAATCGTAACCTGGTGCTATAAGCAACAACAGATGCAGCTTCTGATAACTTATTGGGAAGCCTGTTGTGTTGGATTTTCTGACTTTGTCTCCTGATTAGTGGAAGGTTTACTATTCCATGGGCTGTTGTTTCCCAGTGCAGGTGAATTGTTGAATTCTTCTTCATCATCCATGCCATTTGTTGCATCATATTGTGTGTTCTCTAGCCTGGTGATGAGCCGTTCATCTTCATCACCAAATTCTCCACCCATCAAGGTTGGTTCTCCAACTACCATCACATCCTGTGGAAAGGATTGAGCATTTGTTATATATGGAAAACTGGAAAAGGCAAAAAAAATACAGCAAAACTTACCATAGTCATCAATTTATAAGAGCAGCACGTCATATGAGAGGTATACCAGGGTGATCCTTTCATGCAAGCCCCCATCAACCTGATGTATCATTGCAGGTTTCGTGATGATGTGTTCAAAAGGGAAACTCACTGATCCTCTATAGTATGAGGAAACATATGTCAATTGTTTTATTTCCCATGTTGTTAACTTTGGAATCCAAACCACAACTAATAAAAGTGGAATAAAATGGTGTTTCATTGGGATTATGTAGTTGCTTTAAATTGACTATACAACCCTTTCCAGAGTTAACCATTTTTAAATGACTTTTACCAGTCACAACACTCATATTATATGTACATCACTACATCACAATTCTCTTGGATAAGCTCCGTAAGTGAACAGGAATCACCACAGTGTTCTTGCATGGCTCCCATTCATTTTGAGGTGGCCTACACACAAGGACATCCTGGTGGACTGAGCCCTGAGTCTTTTATTTTATATTTTTATTTCTTCAGCCACTGGCCAGAGCAGTTGAAGTGAAGATAATAATGCTACCTTGTATCAACCAATGGAATATAGAAATCAGGATTTCTTATCCCTAACCAATGCACTTGACATCTTGCCACTTAATTATGGTAATTAATTTAGGTAGATGTTTTAAAAAATAAAAACTACATTCACATTGATTTGACCATTTGCTTCACTAATTAAGTAATTAGCAAAAAAATAAAATAAAATAAAAACCCTGCTGATTGCCAACAAGCCCTGAATTTACCATCTGTTATTTCATGTTATTTCACCTCTCTCTGTGTAGGCAACACTGCTGCCAATCTGTGTAATAAGAGGCCCAATTTGTCTAGCTGGTTTCATAAAAAGACAACAGAATGCTAATTATAATTACAGTGATGAAGCCAGCAGTTGTCAAAGCTGAAGAGGGCAAGAAGGAAATATCTGTCCCACTGGTGCTGTCAGTGTGAAGAGCACTTTCATAAAGATATTCACAGCACTACAAGCACAATTGTGCATCAGTGGTTTCCTGCTGATCCTCAGCCAGCAGCAGAGGGGGTTCAAAGAAAGAGTACCACATAGGAAACCAAGGAGCTTTCTTAATCTCTCTGCTAACATGAGACCCACAAATCATAGCATTTGCGGGGTTGGGATTTAACTAGGGAGCACATCTTTTGACAAAATGTCTTTGGCAAGGCCTCTTGTGACACATTTTAAGAAAACAGAGTCCTACTGTTGTTGACATTTGTACATATGGATTTAACAAGACATTCAAGGCTGCAGGTCTTGGTACTGAAAAGGCCTCACCTCTACTAATATAATTATAAATATTCTGCTGAAAGGAAGCAACAGGCCAATAGTGTTTATCACTTCACTGTTACCCTCATCTGACTCAGTCTCCTAGTCTCTGAGGCAACTCCTCCAAGACTCTCTTGCTGGCCTTTGTATTAGGATCTCCTTCTCAACAGACTTCTCAGTCTATTCCTCAGTCTATTGGGGTCCATTCCTCCCCAAACCCAACTTTCTAAGAAGTATTTGAATTCATATGATAATCTCGGTCTTCAGAGGAAATCAAGCCTATGTAACTTGGCCACATTCACTCTTTGTGCATCTCCTTTCTCTCTCCTTCCTTAACTTACTTTCTGTTGAAATTATGATTGTAAGCTCCATGGAGCAGAGAGAGAAATAGATGAGTATTTTGTTTTGCATGCTGCTTTGTTCAATATAAATGAACTACCTATTTTTAAGACCTTATCAAGACTATTTTCAATAAAAAGAAAACTTTAAAATTATTAAACATGTAATATATTTAATTAAAATATAGTCTTCTTGTTATTCTAATAAATTGTAACTGTGTTTAGTAGAGACGGAGGTATTTGTATTTGTGTATGAATATCCCAGTGCAGCTGGAGTTAACCAGAGCCGAACTGTCTACTCACACATCTGTTGCCACCGGTGGCAATGTACATCTTTCCAATCACTCCCAGAGCACCGTTTTCTTCCCAGTCATCTAGCCACTCATGGCAGAGGGTGGGAGGATGAGTCTTCCTACAAATCTGCTGAATGGCTAGCCAAGCAGTCTCCGGAGCAATTGGAAGGAAGAGAGGGGCTGCTGCCACTGTCAGATGCATACAGACCCTCATTAACTCCAGCTGTGTGGGGATATTTGTATTCATACCAATACCCCCATCTGTAGTGCTTTGTAGAAAGAATGAATATATTGCTTAAGTAGCAAACTGGCATCAAAGCCAATAGGTGGAATGTGTGTCTGCATTTAAAAGTGTCTAATGAATGTGCATTGCATGTGTAAAATGTGAATTGCATCAGTCTGAGGGATGGGAGGGTGGGAAAAAGATATTAATCGGGATGGAGCATTGGTGCTAGTGGTGGAACTGTCCCCCAAACCAATTCTACATTCAAAAAACTATTCTTCCTCAAGACTTCAGTGTGTGCACCCAGGGTCTTCTAAAAGAACACCTGATACTTGAACAGAGAGGTTCCAGGTGTAAGTGTATTCCTAAAACAGTTGAGCAGAGTTCAGGTAACCCAGTGAGGCAGTACCACTTACCCTTTTCCCAAGTCTGGTCTAAAGAGCAATTAATTGAGAACAAACAAAACTCAGGTTAGTAATGGACTCAAGTAGCATCTCTGTGGCCTGTCACTTAATACTTGCAGATTTGCTGTTCAAGAGACCAAACTTAGGATTTTAAGAATTATTGTTTTATTAGAAAAATAAAGAATTTAGAGATATTCAGTTTGTTGCAAAAGCATAGCATTCTAGTACATTTCCATAAATTAAAGCAGTTAGAATCTTAGCAAATTCCAGCTACAAAAATAAAATAAAAAACTCTAAAATAGCTTAGAAGGTAGGCTAGTCATAGCCCCCTTTCTCTAACCTTACTCTGAACTACATCTTTACATAACAGTAAAAACTAGCATTTGGAACTCAAAAATCCATCCAAAAATCAATACTAAAAATCATTCTAAAATCCAAGCTCTCTTTCTGTCTCCATTCTCCATTTCTTTCATGCTGGGACCTCCCTTCTTCTCTACTGTTCTGTGAAGTTAACCAATAAGCGTAAAGGGCTGTCTCTTCACACTCCACCTCCATTTCCCACGTGATGTGCAGGTTTTGTTTTCCTTTGTCAAGATGTTGTGTCTTGGCTCCTTATCATGGAAAATTCCAGCTCGCTTGAGGAGAAACAGCTTCTTGAAGCATCCAGTCATGCTAACATAGACCAATATGGATTCCTTCTACAAAATTTGATGACTACAAATTCCATTCATAAATCATATTTTAGGCTTAATAACCTAAACCATGACATGCCACCCCTGGGAGTTCCAAAAATCTGAACCAGTAAACCTAGTTTCCATTTTTGGCTAATAATTACAATAATAAGTAGTAATTAGCTGATTACATAGTGCAAAATACTAAAGATTAAGGGGAAGGAAAATTTCCCCTTCACACCCTCTTCTATCAACTTGTAATACATATGCTTCTTTAGTAACATTATAACATAAATACAACAATTTTATATTTATAAAATCTGACTTCAAACCCCCACTGAGGCACCGCCATCATCCCCCATGCCATGAGGGAGCAGGCCGGGTAGGTGGGACTCATTCAGCCCTGGAAGGCAGCCCATCTAGGAGAAGGAAAACTCTGACTTCAAACCTCCACTGCCTGCTTCATGTATAGCGTCAAAACACTAGACACTGTGCCAAGTCCTCCATATAGAGCACGTTACCATAGTCTCTTGAGACTGAAGGATGCCTATGATAATAGATAATTATATTATCTACCTCCCATATTTTAAAAGATAGACAATATCCACAACCTTATTATACTGTTACATATTAATCCCTGTCAGCATTGTTAATATTTATTCTACTAGTTTTCTCCCTGTTGCTACCTGAATATTTATCACATGTGGGGATGTGGAAAAGTCACAGAACTGTTTTTCTACTATGCAAAAACTGTTGTCATCCAGATGAAGAGTCTGAACTGGGTCTCAATGTGGTTTGTGGATAAAACATTTTATAAAGAAAAAAAAAGTACTGGGGGCTCTTCTTGGAACCTATGCCCTCTGGCTGAGCTTGTCTAATACCAGATGTGTCATGCCTGAACTGAGTTGCCTGCTTGTGAATGAAATGCAGCACATGCTTGGAGACATCCTGTTGCTGTTATTTCTTCACAGACCGAAGAGCTGTGTTATTTCAATGAACTTCTCTGGAACTGAATGCTGAACTTGCAATAGACCTGGCATGGTCGCAGAGAACTAACTATAAGAATATACAATCCATGTATTTAGTGATGAAATATTTTCAAATATTTAATGCTTGCAAAGCAGTCTCATTCCCTTTAAACAGGGCTGAACTACCTGCTAAAGGATGTTTCCTGTGGTATTGATGCAAATAAATTCTGTAACACCCCCCCCAAATCCTCTAGGCTTTAACAGTGTGTTTGCAACAGATAAATTTTTCTGTGCCCAGAATGAATGTATTGAAAATCAGATACTTATAAAGTAACACAAGGGGTTATTTATCTACATTAAGAAATTAATAAAGTGATTCCAAACTTTACAACTTCAGAGAACCATTTACAGTACTAATTTTCTCCACAGGAAATATTCTAAAAGAGGGGTGGGTAGAAGGTGATTCATCATTCAATGACAGATCTCCCAGTGATCAGCAACAATTAGATGCATGCATCACACATGTATCTCAAGTTATTGAAAAAGAATATTTTGGGGGGGAGCAGTGGATTTTTGTTTGAGCTTGTATTGCCTTTATGAGCTTAGTTTTGTGTTTCTACAAAATTCCTGGATGTGTTTGGAGGCATTTTCTGCTGACCTGAATTATATTGCTTCTGTTATTGGATCTCATGATACCAGTTTTAAAACAAAAAAAGTAGATTCTATAAGTTTCAAGTCAACCCATCCCTGTTTAAAATATATTCTGTCCTTGAGTTGGTCTGACCATCGGGTTTCACCATCACTCCTTGCAGGCAACAGCACATATGTCACAGACCACATTGAAACACCATCAGAACAACATTCTGCTATAGCTGTGCATTATACACTGCAGACAAAGACTGCAAGTTTGTTCAGAGAAAGCCATCTACTGTTACTATTCTTCTGGAAACCACAGCTTCAAAAAAGGCAATGTGCTCTTTCATTTTTGTGGATGCCAAGTCTGAGAATTTTCTAAAGATTCCCTAGGTGGAATTCTGGGAGTTTCAAAGTACATACACCTACATTTTGCTCATGGAGTGAGAAGCAGAATCCAAGAATTAAACCCTATAGTTTTCTTTTACTTTGGGACACACACAGTTATGGACTACTCAGGGCAGCATGTAAGATTCAGCTATATTAAGTCAGGTCATGGTTAGATATAGCAATATTTTAATCTACAAAAAATTGTTTAGTCATGCTTACAAAAACTGGGGAAACATAAGACTAGCCTGCATCACTTGTTATCCACCAATGCAGCTCACTAGTTATGCATGATAACCCAGTCGTGCAACCTACTTAGAAATATAACCCAATGAGTCCCAGATTGGTATCTATAGGGTTGCAGCCTATACCACCTGCCACCTTGGACTGCAATAACTGGTAGACCACAATACATACTTAATTAGTTGTCTTACCTTGATGGGACTCAAGCTGTGGCAACCCAAACTTTCTCCATCCCCACATGAGCAAAAACGTTTGTTTTTTGAAAAAACTTTGAAACAAACTCAGCTGTTCATGTAGTTTAAATAACAGAAAACACAAATGTGATTAAGTTAAAACTTTTTTTGTATTCCAATACCATTATATGTTAGACAAATTGATTTTAAAAAATTACTAAAATTATGTTTCCCATTTGTTCTATTTTTATCAGTAATGTTTGTATCTGAATGATAGAAAGCATTCAGAGCAACACCTATGCTTTTTTTTAAACAGAGCCAAAGAGCAACCCCAGAATAGGAAGAGTATACGTAAAAGAAAACTGAGTTGTCCACTTTTGGTTGAGAAAGAAATTTCAGCCTGAGGTAAATCCTGCATGCAGCCACTGTCCACTTGGTTGTGTATTTTATTAGCTTTTTAGCCACTGACCTAGTTACCCACAAGCACTTTTCCTGTATTGGCCAGTTATATGGTGGACAATTACCACTGGAAATATATACAAAGTTACTTCTTATCAGAGAGGATCATGGACTGACAGGTAAGCCTTGGGAAAAAGGCACTGTTTTTTTCTGTTTACCCCAGCCAAAATTTGTTCTGGAATGTGTAGATTCTTGTCATGTTACTGAAAAACTTGAGATACACAGAACTCCTTCCACTGGTGGTTTTCTTCCCCCCCCCCAATACCAGCTCATATAGAGATTATTCATGCAAGGAAGTAATGTGGGACATAGGAACCTAGGAAAATAAAACAGTTGAGCTGTGTCAGGCAGCATTATAACTCACTACACAATGATGTCAGGGCTGTCTATGCAGTACAGTTCTGTGCAACCACAGAGTTGCATAAGAAGTTTCTTTACAGTCATGTTTTTTTGAAAAATGTAGAATCTAGTAATTATGGATCTAAAAGCATGCTCAGAAGTACTTGAGTAATGATTTCTGAAATCTCACAAAACCCAGAAGTAGTAGGCCAATACAGTTCCTAGTGGTTAGGTACCTTTAGGAATACACACAGCCCCGAGTACGGCAAATAACTAAACTCTAATAATATTCTGTACTAAGAGGGGTCATGAACTGAATCAGAACTGCAGATACTGAAGTGGATCCATCACTGGAACAAAGTTAAAGCAATTTGTATTAAATGAATAGGGCCTCCTTCCCTATTCACACAGGGTAAATTGATTCAATTGAGCATATAGGAATTTGAATACCTTTTTGCAGCAGGTCTGTGGTACATCCCTATGCACTGTACCACTGAGTCCCCTGACCCTTGGTGAAACCCCTTTCAATAACCTGTGGGGGAGTGGGCTGGAAAAGCCCCATTGCATGCAAAGAATCACTTTACCATTCTTCGGATCTGACTATAGATCCTAATGGTGATAGAACAGTATTAGAAGTAGAATATTAACTGGAGGGTTACAAGGAAAATGAGACTTACAGGTAGCTGACTTGAAAGACTCAGGCTTGCAGCAGCTGCTTTTTTCTTGCTGTTGGCGTTGTTTGTGTTGTTCCCAGCACTGCTATTGGATGTGCTGCTGGTTGAATTTTTCCTTTTCCTGCGTTTGGTTGTTGGCTGTCTTGTAGGTTCCGCTACAGTAGACACACAGGAAGCAAAAGGAATGACATATATCAGTGTATGTGTGGTCTATCCTCCTCCTCTTTCTCCAATTTAAAATTCCTGATGTACACATTTACTAAATCAGATTGCTCAATATTTAAAACAGTGTCCTACAAATGAAAGAAAATATACATTTAGAGTAACAAAAGATTTATATATATTGATCATACCTGGAAAAACTACTTCTATAAAGAATCTGTTACAGTTAGAATTCCAAGTTCTCCTTGAGATAGATTATGTATATATCTTAGGACTACAGAGCTGAAAGGGACCCTATGGATCATCGAGTCCAGCCCCTGTCAAGGAGGCACAGTGCAAAGTGGAACTCCCAACCTCTGACAAAATGCAGTCTCCTCCTGTCTGCCTGATCATCACCTCAACTCTAATAGGAAGTATGAGGCAGCAGTACAAAGAACTGTATTAGCCAATATTTGAATCACACAATATTCTTCGTCCACTGAGACCACAACACTATAACTATGAAATGAATGAAGACATTCCAGTTACACTCCCAAAGAATTGAAGATATTCTTTGTTAAGTTACAGTTAAAAAATACTACAATTATACTTCCATTAGTGGTAAAAGGAATTAATGGGAAGCTATTAGTAATAGTAATAGTTTTCCCCCCAAACAGATACTGACCATTCATATCTGAAATTCAAATCATAATTTTGTTTGCAAAAATAGTAAAAAAAACCCTCATTCAACAAGGGAAGCATCCACTTTTCCGCCTTTCTAGCTGTCTGTGGTATCTGTAAGGCTCTCCTCTTACACCACATTCCAAATGATTTGAGTTTTGCCCCTTCCTTCACTGTCTTTGTTTCACATAGTATAGGTGGCCCATTCTCAACAGGGGCCCTGGCACATTTGAAAGGGGCCACAGACTGAAATCTGTGAGAAGGGGAGCTCCAAGGGTTTATGAGGGCCCCTGGTAACTGAACTAATGAAATATCCAAGCAACATGAGCTTGGCCCTTTGCACAGGCTCCCTGCTGTTTTCATGGCTTTTTGTAGACCAGAAAGAGGCAACTCTGCATGCTACTTTCCCAATGATTGCTGATGCAGGCACCCTATCTTTTTAAAATTGGAAACCAGTTGCCTTGCCTGTTTTTGATTGGAAGCCACCCATGATTGCAACCTAACTGAGACAATTTTGCCTGCTGCCTTCCAGCAATTGTTGACACAGGCACCCTGCTTGTTTTTCATTGGAAGTCAGCCATGATTACAGCCTTAACTTGCTGAGGCAGTTCTGCCAGCTGCCTCCCCAGAGATTGCTGATGTAGGCACCAAACCTGTTTTTATTGGAAGCCAGCTATGAATGCAGTGAATCAGCTGCCAGCTGCTTCCCTCTGTACTGTAATGTCTGTCTGTCTGTGTGTGTGTGTGTGTGTTTGTGTTTCAACTCACTGACTGTGCTGGAGAAGATGAGTGCAGAAAAGCAAGGTAGAGTTTTTTTACTTGTTCTGTCCTTGTGCTTTTTTTTTTTAACTTGCTGGATCTATGCCTCCACTGCCTGCACCTCCCTGCGAGGCTGGTGTTGCTGTGAACACACTTGCAGCTGCTGCAATAGAATGGAATGTTCAATTCCATAACGAGCTTCCATCCCTTCAACCTACATAGGCCAAAGTTGCTGCAAAAAGCCCTGTGCAACTCAGAAAATGTGGGTGGGTGCATATGTAACAATTTGTGTATGTGTGTGGAGTGAGTCAGAAAGCTGGTAGTAGAGCATGGAGGGACAAGCAGCAGCAGCAGGAGGGATATGGGGCTGGGTTGCTCTCTCTCTTTGGGGCCTCTGTCTGCCTCTTTCGCCTCTAAGAGGCAAGAGGTCTGTTGGACTTCTTGTTTTGTTGCTTGCCCTAAGAGCAAATCTGTGACCAGATATACCATATACACTTGTTTATAAGTCAACACAGGTTTTTAGGATCAATTTTAAGATGTAAATTTCTTGACTTTTACACATGTATACAGTATATGGTATTTGTTGATAATTTTCTTTTTAATTTTTCCTTTTTTCAAATTAATTTCAGAAATAATTCTATTCATGAGTTCCTTGGCAAAAAGAAACGTTGGCAGTATTCTGTGGAATACTTATCATATGATTTCATTGCATCTCCTCAAAACCCATCTTTGTCTATGTGTTTGAACAGCATGATTACGTTTTCACTTGAAAGCATGAGGCCAAGCAAATTGGAAAAAAAAACAAGAAACAAAAGATCGACTCTTGGATTTCATTAAAAACTCTGAGAGAATTTCAAGAGAAAGCCAATATCAACACATTTTTACTTATATGTCAGAGAAATTAGACAGGGGTCTTGTTGCATCCTACAAAATTAGTAAATAGGTTGCTAAAACTGCAAATGCTCACAACGTTGGTGAGTCATTTATCCTGTCTTCAGTGTCCATAATAATATCTGATGTGATGAATTTGAATGCCAAAGAAACAATTCAGGCAATTTGCATAACTTCCCTGTTGCCAGAAGAATTGATGAGATGGCACATGGCATTGAAGAGGGATTGGTCAGTTCAGTCCAATGCAAGAAATTCTCTTTACTATTAGACTAAACTACTTTATTTATTTATTATTTATTTGTTTGTTTATTTATTTAATTTATATGCCGCCCACTCTACCCAGAGGTCTCTGGGCGGCTTACAATAATTAAAATTCAATACAATAAAATGATTAAAATACAATTAAAATACAATTAGAATTGCCATCATCAGGACCCACAGTTGTTATTTCAATTAAAAGCCTTCTGGAACAGGAAGGTTTTGACCTGGTGCCGAAATGTCATCAACGTCGGCGCCAGACGAATTTCAGTTGGGAGGGCGTTCCATAGTCTAGGGGCAGCTGCCGAGAAGGCCCTTTGTCTACAAGCCATCCCTCTTACCTCTTTGAGGGATGGCTCTTTCAAAAGGGCCCCC